AAATTTGTTCATTAATTGCAAACACAAAGACAACCACCACCAATTGATTGCAACTAAGAAAGCAAAGACAAGTAAAAATCAGCATACAAAAGAAAGCATACATTTGTTAGTGCAAATTCAATGACTGATAAAGCAAATCAAAAGTATATAATAGTTCACTAGCAGTCTAGTGTGCTGGCAGAACTAGTTAACATTGAGAAGAAAGGTTAGTGACAAAGCGTGGACATCTGGAGAAAATTGCTGTACAACTCAATAATCACTCTGCCCCGAAACCTTTTAGGAAAAGTGGAAAATCTGTGATGTACACTACTCAGCAACAGTACTGCAGGTCATGAGACAAAGCAGCAACAGACACTATCTTCCAGCAAAAAAATCTGGTTAGTTTTGGTTAGTTGTTTTATTTTCAAACTTGGTGATTGTAATCTGAGCAAAACTTCTGCCTTTAAATTCCTTTTTCTTTGTTGTTTGCTTTGCTGTGTTCCACTTTTAAATGGAGAATATGACTTTACATTAGCCACAAGTTTCTGCTCAAATTGCTTGCATCCAAGAAAACTTGTTATACTGCCCAAAGCCTTGCACCTGTAACTTGGTTAACACTTGAAATCTTACACTCAACTGGCTCCCATCTTTTACAGTCTCGAGCCATTGCTCCGTTGCTGAATTCTGCAAAATAAGTGGTTTTGCTTTAGTGAGTAAAATCGCCATAATATTTACCATCCAACATGCATTTCTGACAGTCAACTGAAGTTGGAAAATTCTCTCATGTATACAAAGCCCACACTATTAAAGTATTGCTTAAAAATACTGATGCATTTTTTATTAGAAAATACAATAAGGGTGGGAAAGGCAGACCAACAATTATCTATCTGGGGCTGAAAGCTTCTAATTTGCTAATGCTAGCAAATTTCTTCTTTACCTTATGAAGGAGGAAATTTACCAACAGAAAAGCTTAGGGGGCAGGTTTAAAGTCTTTATATTTTGGGTAGTGGTGGACACCTCTACTATATCCACACAGTATGCCAAAAGGTAAGAGCACATGCTTTATCTACTGATATCTGATATCTCTTCCGTACATAACTAAAACTGGGCCATTTTTTCAAATCAATGTTTATCAATATACATATATATACAAAACTCTCTAAACATAAAGTAATACCTTCATCCACTCACAAGGAAAAGAAAGAAAGAGAAAGAGAAAGAGAAAGAGAAAGAGAAAGAGAGAGAGAGAGAGAGAGAGAGAGAGAGAGAGAGAGAGAGAGAGAGAGAGAGAGAGAGAGAGAGAGAGAGAGAGAGAGAGAGAGAGAGACAGAGAAAGAGAGACAGAGAAAGAGAGACAGAGAAAGAGAGACAGGGAAAGAGAGACAGGGAAAGAGAGACAGGGAAAGAGAGACAGGGAAAGAGAGACAGAGAGAGAGACAGAGAGAGAGACAGAGAGAGAGAGACAGAGAGAGAGAGACAGAGAGAGAGACAGAGAGAGAGACAGAGAGAGAGACAGACAGACAGACAGACAGACAGACAGACAGACAGACAGACAGACAAACAGACTGAGAGACTGAGAGAAAGAGATACAGAAAGAGAGAGACAGAGAGAGACAGATAGACAGAGACAGACAGACAGAGACAGACAGAGGCAGAGACAGACAGAGACAGAGGCAGACAGAGAAAGAGAGAAAGAGAGAGAGACTGAAAGAAAGAGAGAGAGAGACTGAGAGAAAGAGAAAGAGAGTGAGACAGAGAGACAGAGACAGACAGAGAAAGAGACAGACAGACAGACAGACAGACAGAGACAAAGATAGAGACAGACAGACATAGACAGACAGAGACAGAGATAGAGAAAGAGAAAGAGAAAGAGACAGAGACAGAGACAGAGACAGAGACAGACAGAGACAGACATGAAACAGAGACAGAGACAGAGACAGACATGAAACAGAGACAGAGACAGAGAAAGAGAGAGAGACTGAGAGAAAGAGAGAGAGAGAGAGACTGAGAGAAAGAGAGAGACAGAGACAGAGACCGACACAGAAAGAGAGCATGAGAAAGAGAGAGACAGACAGAGAGAGACAGAGACAGGGACAGAGACAGACAGAGATATAGACAGACAGAGACAGAGACAGACAGACAGAGACACAGAAAGAGAGAAAGAGAGAGACAGACAGACAGAGACACAGAAAGAGAGAGCAAGAAACTGAGAGAAAGAGAGAGACAGACAGACAGAGACAGAGACAGACAGACAGAGACAGACAGAGACAGAGACAGAGAGAGAAACTGAGTGGTGCAACAACTTATTCGATGAAGGATTTAATAACAGTAAACCAACATACTGACTGACTGACTGACTGACTGACTGACTGACTGACTGACTGACTGACTGACTGACTGACTGACTGACTGACTGACTGACTGACTGACTGACTGACTGACTGACTGACTGACTGACTGACTGACTGACTGACCAATCACTTGGTTAATCAATCACTCCTTGATTTAATCATTCATACAATCAGTCACTTTCAACTATGTACATTAATTAACTGTTAGTTTGTAACATGCTTACTGTTTGTCACTGCTTAGATAGGCATACACATTAAAAAGCTATGAATGTGAATTAATGCCACAATATAAGATGTATATGTCATGCTTCAATATTACAGCTTAATTAGAATTACATATTTCTGAAGAAGATATAAAATAAAATATAAATTCATGGCTCATATATGGTATTATTCACATTTATCCATACTTTTCTTAAACATGTCAATATAAAATATATTCAGGATGCATACAGTATTTACTTAGTTAATTAGTTAACATTCTATCTCCCTGTAAGAAACTGCTTTATCAGTAACTTACAATTCATATTTAGCCTGATAGATTTTATTATTAGACAATAAATTATTTCTGACATGACATTATATTCTTCATCAACATTTGTTTTCATACCATTCAAATGAACAGATATAGATTGTTCTTGTAGTTCAATATAGGTCTGGTCGCATTATACATGAAACTAATCATTGCTTCATCTTACAAAAATATGAGATTATATAATCTAAATAACAAATAAATTTTGGTTTGTCTAATTGAACAAAATGATGAACCTTCTAAAGAGTAAATACATAATAGGTAAAACACAATGGCAACTCTCCCAAGGAAATGGAATTTACAACTGCAAAGAAGCACATGTGGCTGACCAGTAATTTCCTTTTATTTCTATGTTGGTAGCTATAACTTTACAACAAAAGAGCTCCGAGATAGTTATGCATTGAAAGGCTCTTATAAATTTGGAACTAGAGTAAATCAAGGACTCATTGTAGTGTGCATGGCTGCATTCAATTACAGACTGAGTTGGGGCTGAAAGGGAGCAGAAGTGCTTGTGGGATGAATATACCTAAAAACAATAGTAAAAATGTTCAGCAAAGGTAGGCAAGGAAAGGCGTTCCTTAGTGCTCACTACTCTGTGTGTGGGCAACTCTCCAGTTCACTGTAGCAAACAAAAATCATCCTGCCAATCTCATCATGATGTGATCAGATGGCATAACTGTTATTAATCTTTTTTTTAACATTTATTTCTGCTCTTAAAGTAGTAATGTGATGTAGATCCCAAAGCCCTTTTCTTTCAAGGAACTTTTTTTTTTTTTTTTTTTACAATGTAATGAAAAAAATTACATTTAGATGTGAAAATTTATTTGTTTACCAAATCTTATCTATGTGCAATTCCAAAAACATGAAAAACATGTTATTTTATCTATATCCCATACTAACTCTATATAAATATGCAAAAAAGTAAACCATGCAAATTCTCATCACTGTTCCAGGACAAAATAAGACTATCTTAAAATGACATCCTAAGACAGAGAAAAGAAAAAAAACACATGAAACATCACATCCTTATTTATTTCATTCTTTAATGACATCAGACTTCTCTTTTACCATGTTCTTGTAAGTGGGGACCACACCATAGACAGCAACAAGTATTTGGTCCCCATAAGATCCAACTGTCTGCCTTTATGCAAAATATGAAGTTGGTAATCTGTATTGTACTCTGACTTACAGCTCTTACACAGTAAAGAAATATGGTTTCCATTGCAGTCAGTAGCCCTGAGAGATATAAAACTGCTGGTTGCATTGGACACTTTGCACAGCACATCAACATATTATATGTACAATACATAGGTCTGGTATACAAATGACAAAACTGAGATACTATGTGTAGACATTTTAATTTTCAAGGGTGATATTTGTGTTCACATCAGTAGTTATCTGTTACCTATACAAATGACAGTCAAGTTTTACCTTGTATCTCACTTTTACACTGAACAAAAATCTTATTCTATGGCCAAAATAAAAAGTATTCAACCTAGAGTGTATTGTATGGGGCTGAAATCTTCTAATTATATGCTAATGTTTTACACAGACCCCTACTGTAGACAGCACCAGCTCTTGTGCCACCTGCCCCAACCTGCTGCAGGAGAAGAGGGACGGAGGGAACAACAGGATACGGGCAAGAAGCAACGGAAGACCACGACTGACTGGTGTCTGACTGGTATGCTGTTGTTCTACAAGTTGTGGTTGTGTTTTATTTACAAAAATATTGCACTACTATGGCAATGTTATATTGTAAATTTAATGAACATAATGCAAACTACCTACTCTTGGCTCAAGATGTCAAATATTGAATGACAACAGTGCCACTTTCATCAGAAAAATACACCCTCCATATGCTGGCAAGTGTAATGCCACAAACACTCAAACATTCCCTAATACTTGGCACCCAGGACTATACGAACCCACATGACACTATGACACGGAGAAAACCGAAATAGTGTCGATTCCAGAAGGCAAAACCTGTTTCCAGTCTGAACCTTCCAGAGGTCTTTACCCTCAAATGTCTCGCATATTTCCTCGCTTAACTCGAGTCATACCTGTGTTAATTGTTGAACCGACTGCTGCACAGACACAGGTAGCCTTAATGAAGTCTGTTGTACCTCCTCAGTGATCTTC